CTCCCGGTTTCTAGCCTGGTGCCTTAACCACTACACCAAACTGGCTCTCTATGGAAGTAGCCAGAGCATAGACAAAATTATACTGGTGGGCAAAATGGCATGTGCACACACACACATGCAAAGTAATAAAAGCAGTAATAAAAGCAGAGTATGGCCAAATGAAGTTCTGCAGAAGCAGCATAAAACCTGTAATACACTAGTCTGGGACAGAACTAACAACACAGTGCTGGTAGAACATAGCTCTCTTTCCTGGTTTAAATCAACTGGAGCATTAGTCCTTAAAAACAAACAAACCCCAAACAGGTCTCATGCTCTTTTAAAAGTTTGCTAAGAGGCTAAGAGCTAAGCCTGGGTATAAAAGGAGCCTCCTAAAGCCCTTTCCGGCATGCTGGTCAGGCATCTGCCCAAGCCAGGGACCAGGTTTCTCCTACAGCCAAACCAAAAGGGCCCAGCGATTAGAAGGAAGGAACGTGCCTGCAGCAGCCTAAAGTGGCCAGTTGAAGCTGGACAGATTCAAGGCCCTCATTGTGCCATCACCAACATCATCAAGGCGTCACAGATTGTTCATACAGCAAGACACATGGCACAAGAAGAGGAAAAACACTTCTTTAAAACTGAATAGCCAAAGACAGTGTTAATCTGCCTCCATAGTGTGGGGGAGATAGGTCGAAGGCAATGTCATGAAGATAAGAAGGGCTATTGGGGCATCTTCATGCCAAGGTTTGTGGGATGTGAACACTGTGGCAGTGAAAAGATATTTGCAGCTGTGGCTGCATCTGCACTTTTGGAAAGGATTTTAGAAGGCTAAGACTGGATTTTAGCTGTTTTCAGGAATTACCGGTGTAGTGAATCAGGAAGCCTCCATTTCCTCAGACAAAACATGACAAATCCTTCACTCCCCAAATTCAACTGGACAACTAATACAAATATCCCAGAATCAAGCAGCCACTCAGGTGAGCACATATTGCCTGCAACATCTAAGCCTCATGTGGGGGAGAGGAAGAGACTTGCCCACACTTTCCCAACGGGTTCTCTTCTGCCCTAACTTTGCTGGCAAAAGGACCAAGGCAGAAGAACATGTGGAAGAGCGAGAGTGATTCCTGAAAGAAGTAAGCAAGATGGAGACTGGAAATAGCCCCATGGTTTGGTGAACCTAACCCTTGCTCGCTGGGGAATTCTAGGAGTTGAAGTCCAGACATCTTAAAGACACCAAGGTTGAGAAATACTGCTTCAGAGTAACAGAAAAATGCAAACAGAAGACACTGTAACAAGTTCTGCCACATCACTAGCCTTCCCATTGCCAGAATGTTTTAAATCAAACTACAGTTCCTCCATTCTCTCCTATCTGCCGATCAACAGCATGGCACAGTTTTTATGGCTCTGAGTTTGGGGCTTGCCGAGAACATCTTCAACCAATCACTGTAGAGCTTGGACTGGCCAATAGCAGAGCACAGAAAATACCAGCCTGAACAGAAAATATCATTCTCTCTGCTTCTAACTTTCCCATTCTGCTACCCTTGTGTTTCCCCTTCCCTCTTCAAGAACAAATCATTTTCTATCCCTCACCCCCTACAGAGTCTATGCACTTGGCAACATGTATTTATGATGCTTTGTAAGTTTGCAGAACAATCATTATGATAGATTTCTAGAGAGGTGATTACAAGGGAAGATAGTTTATTTAAGTATTAGCAAATACAAAGAGAAATCTAAAAAGCCTTAATCTCTCCATGGCACTGGATCAGACTTCCAAGCCAAGTGTATCTTTCTAGCAAATTCTGAAAGTGTTGCCTGGTACACATTTGCATGCCAGGAAAACCACATTTGAGGGTTTTTCTCCAAGTGGGGCTAGATGAAATAAAAGCTGAGAGGCAGGAAGAACTTCAAACAGTTTCTCCAATATGGAAAGAAATGCCTTCAAACTCTAAATGAACTTACTGGGATGCAAGTTTCATCCATTTTGAGAAGAGAACTGAAAAGAGATGGTTGTTCTTTAAAGGAGAGATTTGTAAACAGACAAGTGGCCATCAGTCAATTATTCTTTTTAAAAAATACATTTGTGAAGGACAGGAAAGTTCTGAAATTAATCAAAAGGACTATAGTCTTCTGTGTCCCATAATCTATCAACAACATAACTAAATGATGACATTAGGTTTGAAGCCAAACCGTAACCTTCCTCATTTCTGCCAGCCTCAAAACATTGTTGTGAACATAGTCTCTTTAACAAAGGCAAAAATGCAATCAAATACATGCTGGAGAAATTGCTAAAAGAGAACTGATTGCAGCTTAGTTCCAACCTCATTCGATACTTGCATTCACACATGATGTCAAGTCAGGATGCCTTTAAAAACAAAACAAAACCAGGCTTATTGAACAAGCCATACTGGCCTAGTCTGCATATAACAGTCATAATGAGTAGAGTCTTATATTATGCTAAGCCAAGAGGAAACAAACTATATAATGGCTTAGCATGATGTATGTATTAAGCTAATGTGTTAAATTTGCTATTGGATTTACTGAACAAATAAGGTCACAGGAGGCATTTAATAATGCTTGGCAGGAGGGAAGGCCCTTGGCCATTGACTTTGGTGGGCAGCTGACTTTAAATCAGTTGGAAGCTCTGGGCATACTATTTTCCTGCAAGCTCTTAACAGTTGTTGGGTATTATTGCCAAGAAAGCTACGTGGACATGTCCCATGCTGTCCAGATGTGTTGGATTTCAGTTCCCATTGGTCTTGACAGAGATTAAGGGAACTAATATTGAACAGAATAGCATCATTTGGGAGGGAAGGCTGGTATATTTCACACTTTCCTTCATCAAGTATCAGAGTAGTTGTAGTGCTGCCTCAGTTCTACCATTGTTAATGGGGACATAATTGGGAAGAACATATCATGATTTATTTGTTAGATTTATATCCTGCCTCCTCCTATATCCAGGAGCTCAAGGTGATATACACAGAACCTCCCATTTTTTCCCCAGAGCAACAGTATGGTGAGGTAGGTTGAGTGGAGAGAGAATGATTGGCCCAATGTCTCCTAGGGAGCTTGTATAGATTTGAATGTGGTTTTCCCCAGTGCCAGTCCAACACTTTAGCCACTAAACCACACTAGCTGGCAATATGATCTAAGTAAAATTATGAAAACCTATTGAAGTTCTTGGCAATCATACATGGGTAAGACAATGTAGAATCCTGGTTAAGGTGCCAGACTCAGGCCAAGATTTAAGAGTCGTAACTTAAAAGTCCCCTTAGGTCAGTCTTTCTTTCTCAGCCAAACCTATATCCCAGGATGTTGAGACTAAAATGAGGTAGGCAGATTTCTTGGAGAATGCAGATACCTTGGAGAAAGAGTAAAATATACATATTATAAGGGAGACTAACATGAAGGAGATAAAGGATAAATATCTGCTGAAAGTTTTAAATAGTTGTTTAAACGTTAAAACGTCTTGAAAAAAGGCAAATTTTAGCCTGGTGATGAGAAATAAAAAGGAGACACATGTCATAGCCACTGCATTGATGGATGAGAAGAGGAGAAGGAGAAGGAGAAGGAGAAGGAGAAGGAGAAGGAGAAGGAGAAGGAGAAGGAGAAGGAGAAGGAGAAGGAGAAGGAGAAGAATCCTATACATCTGCAATCACCACATCTGTGAGAAGCAGAATAGAATCTCACTTTCAGATTTAAGGAGATAGGAATTACAAGTAAGAAAAGTTATGGAGGATCTCTAAAGCAGTCTTCTTTCCAGACGGGCTGGGTCTGCAGCTCCCAAAATGCCTGACTAAATGGCCAATGTACTAGATAACAACTGGGAAATCTGCAACCATCCAAAGTATAAAGACTCCCTTGAGGCAAGCTCAGGTACTTGTGACTTCATAGACTCAGCCGTGTAGTTTTCTTGCAATAATTCAGAAATGGTTTTGCCACTGTCTTTTTCTAGGAAGTTTTTTCAACTTTCCAGGCTAGTCTAGAGTGCTGGTTAGTAGCACTCAGGTATTAATCAGCATGGGCTCTGTGTCGCTTTCCAAGATAAGCAGCTTAACTATAATTCCTAGTAGTCCCAGTCAGTATAATCAATGGTAAGGAATACTTGGAGTTGTAGTCTGGCTACATCTGGAAGTCCATAACCTTCCCATCCTTGCTGTCAGTGTAGGTCTTTGGTTGCTTAACCTATTGGAACAGTTGGACGTTTTGGTCTACGTTTTGCAAACTGCAGAGAACTTGGAAGTCTCTACTGCAGCTGGACAAGTCTTCTCCAGTATGGTGGAAACTGGGCATCCATTATAATAAAGCATGATGTCAGTGCTGGCTGCCAGAAGGAGACAGTCAACTTCAGGGCAAGGCAGCACAAAGAGGCTACTCTCCTCTTGGCTATCCCATCCTCCTTCTCCTCCTTCTCCTCAGCTAAACAAACTGGTGAAAACAAGACACCAAGGCCTCTTGTTGTGAGATGGGCAAGGCTCAAGAATACACAGGTGCTAATTATGATTGTATTGGCCATTGTTGTCAGGATGATACGGACTGGGTCTTCCATACTGATCAGAAGAAAATACATTAAATGAGAAGAGCTCCAGATCAACATAAGTATAGCAGCCCAAAAGTAGGGGGAGGAAGACACATAGGGACAATGTGTTAATTTCATATTAACAAAGTCTGCAGCTGATATTTTTGGTTTCCCTGAGAAATGGCAGCCACTCTCACTTTGGTAGCTACTTCCAATTTGGCCATTGTGTGAATCAGCCAGCCCCTGATGCAAGCTTCCCCACCCTGGTGACCTTCAGCTGTTTGGGGCTACATTTTCCATCATCCTTGGCCATTGTTCCAGTGTTCTGAAGAAATGTCTACTATATAATGGATCGGCTCTTGCATCACATTTCAGCAACTCAGGGAAGGACCTAGCAGGTCCACTCATGCAACATCTTAAGTTCAGTTCACCTTAACATTGGTTGGTTCTATTGAGGTTTAGAGCGTGTTAGGCAGATCAAGGCCATTTGGTTAACATATGGTTTGATGTATTGTATAAATGTTCAAATCAGGTTAATTTAGCATGTTGTTTGAGTACAGCCTTCACAGAGAGGCTGGCTCTCAGGGAAGTCTTTCCTCTTTCCCTGGTTAGTGTGATGGTAACTATGATCCTGGTAGTCAAGCACAGCTTTGTGGATCCCTCACTAGAAGACTTGCTAGGGTAAAGTTTGATTAGTATCCAAGGAAGTGAATTGAAACATGGGGTACCTTACCCAAGAGGATTAGTAGGATTCCTCCCAGTTGAGAACGCCGGTACTTGGCCACCCCAGGTTCATGGCCCATCCGAATGCAAGGCAAAACAGTCACCAAAAGGAAAACAGCTGGAAGTCCCAAAACTGTGGCAGCAATCATCAGGGCCCGACATGCCTGGACATACCCTGTGGGAAGAAAGACTTCAGACCTTGCAAGCCTAAGATGTTCAATGGAGTATTTCTGCTTTAAAATAACAGGAGGATCCTGAACACTTGCAAACTAAACAAATATCTTTCCCAGAGGGAACAATCCATTTGCATGACTGAGAAGTGTCCATCTGTACTTCCTCTCAGCAGGACCTCTAAAGCAGGGGTGGGCAACCTTTTTCCAGAGAGGAAAAGACACTCCTTCTCTTCCAAAGCTTGCACAGATGACAACACAGGAGGAAGCAGGATCAACAATTTTGAACCGGTAGATATTTTTTCACTGCTGGTCGTGTTGGCAAACATGCTTGCTTGTTACTTTATTTCAAACTTTCCAGAAAGTGGCATCAGCCATTTTCACCACTTTCTTCCCAATGTTCAGTTTTGAGATCTTGGGGTGCTCCAAAGGCCACCAGGAAAAGACTGGCCTCATAATCCAGGGATGCCCACCCCAGCCACAAGTGAGATATATGTAAGATGCCCTATGTGGGAGCCTGTATGCATGCCAGGTACCCTCTAAAAGGGAGAGATGGAAAGAATAAAACTTTCTTACCTGGGGATAAGGCTGACAAGCAGGTTGAAGCTAATCAGCTCAAAATAATAATCTCCAAGGCTAAAAAATGTGGCCAAAAGTGAGGCAAGAATACCCAGTACTTCTTTGGCCTCACAAACAGTAAATTGAGTTCTAAAAATAATAAATTATAAGATTCTTCCCAAAGGAAATCTCTTAGAATAAGGGGGATGAGGGCAACAAAGAGGTCATATCGAGCAACTTTGGGGATGGGGTTTGTCTTCTTCCCACTACCATGTTCCTGTCACTTGCAGAATATGGACAGTTTGCCTGCCTGCTGAACAATAGGAAGAATTACAATTACAGAAAATGTGAGCAAATCATCTTCAATATTAGGAGGGGATGAAAGATTTTGACAACTGCAATTTCTTAGTGACATCAGATTTAAATATAACATTAGGTCAGTGTTCTGGAGCTAGAATGGGGAGATCTAGATTCAAATCTGCATACGGCTATAGAACAATTGGAAGACTTCAGGCCAGTCACAGCCTCCTACCTAGCCTACGCACAAGGTTGATGTAAGAATAAGGACTAGGGGAGAAAAATAACTACATGCACCCCTTTGAGTTCCTGGATGAAGAATAAGAATAAATAATTAATAAATAGTGGAGGTTTGAAAATCATGAGACTTACAGTCTCGCACATCAGAACAATTCCAAGTTGGGGAAAGCTGGAGATCAGCAAACTGGAGAATTAGAAAGTATAAAACCTATATTTATCATATGCAAACAGGAGCTGGTGTGGAACTGAGCAGTAAATTAAGCACTTTGAGACTGTAGAGTAGTGTTTCTCAACCTTGGCCATCTGAAGATATGTGGACTTCAATTCCCAGAATTCCCCAACCACCATGTGGCTGGGGAATTCTGGGAGTTGAAGTCCACACCTTCAAGTGGCCAAGGTTGAGAAACACTGCTGTAGAGGGTCTTCCACAGAGGAATAACCTATAGCTTGGGTTTAAGCTGGCTGCTCATAAGAAGTGATGTCATGTAGCTAGAAGTGGGCAGAATTCCAGCTTGCAAGATCTATTTTACTGGGGACTTTAAAATTGTAATCAATATATTTGTATTCCAACCTTGAAATCCACTAGTTGAAATCTGGTACAAAAGATTAGATGTCAACTTAGCATTTAAAACATCTTCAGCCCAGAAATATATACATAGGGACAAAATTGAATAAAATTCACAGTCCTTCCACACTAACACCGACTTTCAGTTCAGGGTTGTTAGAATTTCAACTTTACAGGAATTGGAACTCACTTATTGATGTTACTGCAAAATACTCAGAAAATAAGGCTGTATATCTCGCCCAGACCTTTTCTAAGTATTGGAGTAATATAGTTCCTAAAAGGGACATTTCCCTACTTCAGTTCTCATGACATGGTTGAATTCATAGATAGTTGCAGACTGATCACCAAGTGTTAGCTTTATGCCAATCATGTACGTAAGAAAAGCAGAACATAACATCAGCTTTTCTGGATCAGACCATCTGTTCCCGCATCCTATGTTATAGCTGTTAATTGGAGCTTCTTGAAAACCCTCTAGCATTAGTGCTGTCTATCACCCTTCATCAGCGGGTATTCAGATGCATCATGATATCTCTGAATTAGGAAGTTACGTATAAACTGGTTGTTAATAAACCTCCCTGGAACCCTCTGACTTGGTGGTCATCTCTATCATGTGGCAGGGGGTTCCACAAGTTCATTAAGCAACACACAGAAAGCTATTTCCATTGGTCCTGAAACTTTTGCCAATCAAACGGATACTAATAATGTTAAAAATGAAATAAAATGAAATAAGACCAATATGCTGAACTTTTAAAAATGATACCACACTCGCTGGAAGGGTGAAATCAAGCCCTTAGTTAGAATCTCCCATCAGTCATGAGCTGGTGGCCTCAAGCAATTAGTTCAGGCACTGGCCTGCAGTTGAGGGATAATAAATATAAATATATCATTATATATAATAGTAAACAGAGCTGTAATAAATGTAAGGTATATTTAGGAGGTGAATTTACAGGATTGTGACTACAGAAAATCTTTAATGCTTCTAATTTGTTGCATCTTTTGAAAAAACTGAACTTTGACTTAAGCATTGTTTTATGCTATATACACAAAATGTGATCCGTCCTCCCAATTTGTGTGTGTGTGTGTGTGTGTGTGCGTGCACGTGCACGTGCACGTGTATGTAAAAATAAACTATAGGATAAAAATCCTAAAATCTGGAAAAGAGGAGAAAGTTCTTAAACAAACGAATGGAGATCAAACATGCTCAATGCTTGTGGAAGCTCCCTGCTTGAGCTGGAGAACGAAAACTGGGTGGGAAGGGGAATAGAAAAAGACGTGGCTGGTCAGTTAGCTGGAAGCCTGAATTGAAAGAAGCCACATTACAGCATCTGGCTGCAGATCCCAGTTCCTTGTACTAGTGCAGATTAATCTTTAATAATCATTAAATTATGTTCATTAACATACTGATAATTACTGGAGCATTATTAATAATTGATTGATAAGGATTGGTTGATAGACAGATAGATAGATAAATAAATAAATACTATTTATTAATAATAATGCTAATTATTATCCTAACTCTGGATTTAATTTTTTTATTATTAGAAAAACTATCCTTCCTGGAGAAAGTGAGTCTTGTAAAGTCATAGTCTAATAGCATGGATAGCCATAAAAGAAACACCTTTTTTATTATTATTGACATGGTGGTTCTAAAACATATCCTCCCATGATCTGATAGCACAAACCTCCCATGCTGGAATAACAAAATTCAGCTGTTACTGTTTGTATAGCTTTTTATTTTACTCCATACTATTTGGAAAATATTTTCATTGTCTCCATTCCCACACAAAGTCACTGAAGCGACCCCTCCAGTAAGGAAGAGCTCAGTGATAGAGACCAGATGGTATACTAGATCTCATTCCAGCCTACAAAAGACCTGCCCAATACTATAAACCGGATTTACCCAGGTGGCCCCAAAGCCTGACCCATTTTAAGACAGATGCCAAAGCTTTTAAGAGTCCCATTTTATCGATGGTTAAACTGAGACTGCAAGATATGGAATATTCAGGATCACACAAACCAATGCTAATTCCTATGAGCCAAAGACTGGGCTGCAAAGTCAGAGACAAGAGCCTGTAATAAGATGATCCCATCCCAACCACCCAGAGTTGCTGGGAGTCAGGCAGGATATAAATTTAATAACTGTATTAATTATTATTATCCTGATTTTTGCTCTGCCACCTGTTGAATGTTTCCATTTGCCAGATAATAATAATAATAATAATAATAATAATAATAATAATAAGAAGAAGAAGAAGAAGAAGAA